ACAAGCAAGACCATTCCATCTCTATGATGATCAAAATTAATCACGCTTCTTCACTTTTATTGCAGAGCAATGGCTTCTGCCTACCACATCTACAGTAAAATCTTCATCATCATTAGACTCATCATGATTGTTATAATATAGTAATATAATTAATGCGGAAAATAACGCATAAATATATAAATTAAGTAAATATAGCAAATTCAATCTGAAAATAATTATAACTGCGAAATTACATCACGTTATAGGGCAAAGCCTATTGCAGGGCCTCAGGAGAGCGATGTCATGTGTCTTAAATCTGCAAATCAGAGATAGAAGTTTGTGGAATATGCGTAATTGCATAACTGTACTACATAGATAATCGTTATTTTTTTTCGCTTTATTTTACATAGGAAAATGTCTTTCTTTCACACATGCTTTTGCAATGAGGTGCGCGAAAACGAAGCTTCAAAACGTTATAGGAGAAAAGGCTCGACAATATCTATTAATTTTCATAACAAAAATCTCAAGTTATGGGAGTTCGAAATTTTCGCGATTCCAGATCGTTGTTGTGTTAATCAATTTTCGTCTTGCAGAAGATCTCAACTCTAAAGGGAATGAAACCTCCAAAAATTGCGCAATATATTCATAACTCTCTTCTTTGTTGAGTTCTTGGCATTTATGAACTAGCTACACAAGGTAAGGAATCCGTTAATTTTCAAAATCATTTTAGCAGATGGCTGAACGACACAATATTATTTTTCTTCTAACAGGTTTGAGATTGAACATAATGAGTGTTATAAATAAGCAGGGTTTTCTGATGCTTTACTTTGAATCAAAGATTCCCAGCTCCACGAGTTTCTGTATTTTTTATCAGGTATATCTCATTTTAATTATGATTATATGAATGAAGCTCTACTTACTATGGATATTTTTTTTAGGAAACGTAAAATGGCTGACATTACTCTCAATTGTCTTGTCATTCCTACTGGTTCATTTATTGGTATTTCACGCAACATTGCTAATTTTGAAATTTCAATTTCTCGAGGTGCTGGAGTTTCCACTCTTAAAAAACAAATCCTGGATTGGTTACCACAATCATATAATAATGTTGTTTTTTCTCTTCGTGCATTTCGTTCTACACCTGTAGATTATTGATCCATGTCGGATAATATGTCAATTTTTAATTATTTTCCAGAAGAAGAAAATCTTCCACAAGATGTCTATCACATTCTCATAACAAAATACTAGATTTTTTTGCACCATGTAACTACAATATGTATTTTGTTTCGTAATAATAAAATGACGCGTTAGGTGTAAGCAATAAAATTAAATATTTAGCCTGTGCGCGTGATAGAAAAGTTCCAGAATTTCTAGAAAAAATCGCACGTGGTGCGACATTACTACTTGTACCAATTATTAAAAATAGAAGACCTCTGGATCTCGCTATGTCTGGCTAAAAATTTGTACGAATTGAATATGGATTTCTTCCCATTCTTTCATCAGATCGTCTAGCCATGTAGTACTTAAATCACTCTTTAATATACTGCGACGTAATAACTCTTCTCCGATTAGCCTATCCCGATCTGTTAAAAATTTACGATATTTTCTAGGGTCTTCTTTTCTTTCTATTCCATCACGATAGAAATGTATATCTCTTTCCAAATCCCCACGAAAACATCCCATGGCCCATCTATTTTTTTCAGCCTCTGTAATGATCGAAAATTCTTTGGAATTTATTCCATGTTCGATGGCATACTGATAAAGACGATTTTTGTTTGGTGCCATTACCTGAGTTTCCAACGAAATGTCTTGTATGATATGATTATCAGCATTTTCGCTTTGTGGGGATTCAAAAGTTTCAGACTTTATCCAAGGATCGAGTCCAGTCTCTTCCATATATGCTTTATATAACCTAGAACGAATTTTATCTGTCTGAGAACTTGGTAAATCAACTAAATTAGCATGCCATTTGCAATAGTCATCAGTTAATATCTTGCTGGAGGTAGTATCAGAAGACATGTTATCATTTTATATTAATGCAAGTCAATTCAAAATCACGTAGCTGTCAAGAAAAAAAATATCGCTATCCACTTGACCAGGTTTATGTAATTATTTACTTACGCAGTTATTTCAATTTCTTGTTGTTTACATTTAATAAAATAGGATCCAGCTTCGTATCTACCTTTTATACTTTTTCCTTCCTCATGACTTTGTTTGCACATTGAGCATAATGACCCCTCATGAATTCCATAATAATCAAATTTTTCACTACTAAATTCTTTATATAGATCAGAATATCCCCACACTATCTTATTACGAAAATAAACACGGTCATGGGTCAGATTATTCTGTTTTTCAGGTAAGGTCTTTGATTCAGTTTGAGATTTGAATGGCACATTTACCTCTGCTTTTGGTAAATCTTTATTGGGTCGTGATGCAGATGATACATTTATCTCAGTTTCCGATAAAACCTTTTCGATATGAGATACGGGTGATATACTTACCTTAGCTTCTGTCGTAAGCTGACACAGTGATACCGAATCATTTATCTCAATGTGAGATGAGATTTTTCGAGACGGCTCCGTCCTGGAAATTTCAAGCGAAGGAGAATTAGAGATTTGGCTCTCTGAATCATAATTAATAATCTCTTGAATTTGGTTGTTAGTAAGTTCTGAGATTGAATTTATACTATAGTTCTTAATATGTTTAATTTTGTCTAAACCTATCTTTTTGAATAACTTATAAATTTTTACAGCTCTTTGAGTTTTTTTGCGCAAGGTATCTCATGATATATTTGGAAGTTGTAAGCCCAAATCTTGTAATTGTTTTTTATGAAGAATAGAGAGTTGATTTTCAATTTCATTATAAATTAAGGTTCTTGCTTTTTTATCGCCAATTTTATTTTTACTACTCATCTCACCAACTTGAAATTCAAAATTCCTACCATAAAAAGACCAGCACATAATTTCTTCCTGATTAGCCTTCGAAGCTTGATCTTCAGCATCTATGGCTGTATCACACAACTGAGCTAAATATTGTGATACCTCATTAATGTCGAATGAATTAACAATACACTTTACAGAACCATTAATCCCCATATATTCCATAATCTGTCCTGGTTTAATATTTTTTGATATAGAGTGATCTTGTGAACTTGGCTCTAAAGAAATATTGAATAATTCTTGCTGGAGTTTATCTGTTCCCTTTTTCTTATGACTAACCAAAGATAGGCCTTGATCTCGAAGCTTCTTCTCCCTATTGCGTTGTTTTATCTCGCCACTAACTCTTTCCTTACTTTTAAAATCCAGAAACTCATCGATCTCTTTATTTTCCGATGATTTAGGCTCGGACGAGTGTGCATGAATATTGGAAGAAATATCAGATGATGCTTCATGGAGAATAGATTCTTCTAATACATGTACGGTATTTTGTGTCTGCTTCTGTTCCAATTTCGTGACTCTGTCTCTGAGCTCAGCATTTTCAGCAATGAGATTACTGGTGTCTGTTTTATTTTTCTTTTCTAGCTCCTCGAATCTGGACTTGAGCTCAGCATTTGCTTCTATCACTTGTTTCAATTTTGTATTCTCGGCCTTGATCTCAGCATTCTCCTTTCTAAGATCAGCAACCGTGGCAATGAGTTGAGAATTTAATTCTTGCAACGAATCGATTTTTGATTGAGTGTCTGACATTGTTTATTCAAGATGCGGATATGTTCAAAAGTTTAGATTAATAAAAATCAGAATTTTCTTCACGATCGGAATTCGGAATAATTATTGAACCATGTGTAGCCCGTGATCGTACTGTGATTCATATAATTATATAGGGAAATCACTATTTTTATCAACCCTGGTCTAACCGCGATTCGCTATATGATGCAACCACAATGAGCGATTTTGATCATATCAAGGCTCCGCTGATATACAGTGTGGGACAAAAATAATCGCAATATAAAATAATCGATCATTTTTGTATCAGGCAAAATACATAATTGTTACACTGCTTGAATCCCAGCTGATTGATTATTAAATCATTTAACCTCAAAGAAAAGGTTTATAAGCAATGAGTAACTCTACTTTCACCCTACACCCATCGAAGACGGCTATGGATACCAGAAATGGTAACTTTTCGCTGTCTTGTTACAACAAAAGAAGTTCCTTAAACATTCTTCACCTTAGATCTCGAAGTGCATCAAACCAATGGCGAAGAGGAGCGAGAAAGTGGCACGTCTACCATGTCTACCATACAAGTATGGCTTTCTTTTACAACATAGGTCATCGAGTGATTGAAATGATAATGTATTAATCATAACATAATGTTATAATTCTGGCCTGCACTATAATTTATTATGATTCATTCAATGATGTTAATCAAAGATTGCAGTGAACGATGCCTTATCCCCGTCTGAAACAGTTATGGACAAGAGAAGCGGTAACTCAGCTTTTTTGTCTAAAACAAAGGAAAGGAAGTTTCTGAAATATGTTCTTTACCTTAGATCTGGAAGCGCATCGAAATATTGGCAAAGGCAAACAAGCAGGCACAAGCCCTTTACACAACTTTCCTTCTACCATACAAGTATGTCTCAAAGGTTTCTTTCTTTTACATAGGTCACATATAGATGTTTACCATTTGAGATTCACCATTAGGAACGATCGAATCATCTTTCCAACCATCAATGGCGAGCTGACACCAATGGAAATAAAGATACAAGGAGCCACGATTATAATAGCTACGTGGGACGCCCTCTTATGTTTATACACCATGAATCGGAGGAAGAAGTTCCGGAACAAGAAGTGCAAGTTCAGCTACCAGACCATTCTACGCCTACATTTGCAACAAATTACCCAGTGGATAACAACCTTAGAACCCAATACCGACATGTGTCCGACAACGATAAACGTGTCGTGGAAACAGAATCATCAAAAAATAATCGGTGTGTCGTTCGGAGCTTCAATTACGGCTCCTCAGTCAAAGAAAAGGAAAACCATGATTCAATCTCGACAGGAAATCGACAACCACCTTTTCCCTCGGGATCGGGATGGGAACATATTTCCGAGTCTGGAGAAATGGAAAGTTGGGAACTGTGCGGAAGTAAATCCATGGTTTCATCTAGCCCAATTGAGACCCGATCTTCCAATCAGAACTCGTACGATCTCGGTCCTGAGCAGAACGGTGAAACACCCTTGCAAAAATTGCCTGAAGTGCCACGTCAGCTTCTTGACTTGTTGAAGGATGATCGCTTTGGGTTCCATGAAATTACGAGTGAAGATTCGTTAGACGAAGTATGGCATGCACGCAATCTTGAGCACTTCTCTAGAAAATTCGGTATCACCAATCCTCGCCCCGTGTTTTTGGACCATTCCGGCTTTGTTGTATGGATGGTAGACGAAAATGGCGCCATGTTTGAATGGAACGAAATGGAAAAAGATATTTTGTACATGGGACCCGATCTGGTGACAGGTCTAAAGAACTACCTTTTTTAC